TCGGACAGGTCCTCCGGACATGCCCGTACTCACCACACTCAAAACATCCATCTGAATACTGTGGTTGGGGAAACTGAGACTGACCCTGACGGGCCGACTAACCATGATAATTACTCTAAAGAGGAGGTGCTTTGATGGGAGCTGCGGTGCACTATAAGCTGGCTGCCTAGAAAGAGGTACATAAGGACCACGACCCCCTGAAGCTCCATGGGATGTCTGAAGTGCTGAATGAAATGGCCTGGGATGATGGCCTCTACCAAAAGTACCTCGACCTCCAGATGAGGCCCCACTGAATCCCCCGGAGTGATGAGGTCTCTTGTCAGACCCCTGACCACTCCCCTGAGCTAAAACCATCTCAAGTCGTCTGGCCACATTGGCTGCATCCTGGAAGGAAATCTCACTCCCTGTCTCCTTAGCCATATGCAATCTGATAGGCTGAGAAAGTCCCTCAATAAACCTCTTCACCCCCTCTCTCTCTCTCTCTCGATGGGAAGTATAAGAAGAGCATGACGAGCCAAATCAACAAATCTGGTCTCATACTGGGTGACGGTCATAGAACCCTGCTGAAGGCGCTCAAACTGCCTCCGATAGTCCTCTCTCTGAGTAATAGGAAGATACTTCTCCAAGAATAGCTGAGAGAACTGGTCCCAAGTGAGAGATAGCGACCCAGCTAGTCTGGCCAAACAATAACCTCTCCACCTTTTCTTGGTGGAACCTGACAGATGAAAAGTAGCAAAGTCGACCCCATTGGTCTCTATTATCCCCATATTCTGCAACACCTCGTGACAACTGTCGAAATAATCTTGGGGATCCTCTGAAGACGTACCGCCATAGGTAGTAGTGAAAAGCTTGGTAAACCTGGCCAATATCCACAAGGCTTCAGAAGACATAGCTGACCCAGCGTCGGCCTGTGCTACAACACCCGACGGGACTACCCCAACTGGCTGAGCTGCTGGAGTTTGAAACTGGGGAGCCATCTGCTCCGGGTGTGAGTAGCGGAAGTCTGTGCTCCTCCCCCAGCCCGAGAGACGGCTGGTGCTACAGGAAGTATGCCGGCCTAAGCAACACTCTCCATAAGGCCCACTAGATGGACCAAAGCATCCTGAAGTATCGGGGTAGCGATGAACCCCTCCGGAACCTGAGCTGGCCTCGCTGGAACGATCTGGGCCGGAGTCTCCTTATCGAACTATATTGACGCTCCGCCGCTAGTGCTACTGCTCGAGCTCTAGGTTGTGCCCTACCCCTGCCTCGGCTTCTAACACGGCCTCGGCCTCTAGCACGGCCTCGGCCTCGTCCTCTGCCCCTCGTAGGAGCTGCCACTAGGGGCTCGGGCTGCTGATCAGCTGATGAACCGGTACGTGTTCTTGCCATCTGCGAAAGAACAGAGTAGAGTGTTCAATTAGCATTAAGAGACCGAACGGCACGATAGAGATGAACAGAAGTGAAATTGTTCCTAACTCTATAGCCTCTAGGGGATAAGCACAGACGTCTCCGTACCGATCCCTCAGACTCTACCAAGCTTGTCCGTGAATTGCGAGACCTAGGCAACCTAGTGCTCTGATACCAACTTATCACGACCCGAATTTCCCACCGTCGGGACCGTGATGGCGCCTAAAATCGCACTCGCTAGGCAAGCCAACGTTAGAGAATTGTTCACCTTTTTCCTTTACTTGTTCTAATTAAAACTAAACAAAGCTAAATCAACAGAATTAAAAGCGGAAGTACACAATTAACTGGTCATCTTTATACTATTAACAGAAAAACCAAAACAGTTACCACCCAGAAATTGGTGTCACAACTCACGAACTTTCTACAGATTACTACAAATACTGGTCTGAAAGAAAAGAATACATCTGTCTCGAAAGTAAATAAAACAAAAATATAGAATGTAGGAGGGGACGCCAGGGCCTGCGGACGCCTGCAGGACTACCTTGGGTCTCCTGACTGAAGTATCAGCAACCGACCTCTCAATCAGCCACTACCAGCTCCGAAATCTACACAGAAAGTGCAGAGTGCAGTATCAGTACAATCGACTCCATGTACTGGTAAGTGTTGAGCCTAACCTCGATGAAGTAGTGACAAGGCTACGGCGAGGCATAAACAATATATCCTGCAACAATTTATAATAAGGCAAAAAGAAACTGCTGAATGAAATAGGATAGCAACTTGCATTAAATAAATACGGAACCCAGTCTTTCTACCAATACTCAGCTATAACCAATCCATAAGAGAATTTCAGCACCACAATAATGAATCTCAGTAGAAGAAGAATACATAAATAACTAATGATGCGGCGCGAATCCCGATCCCACTATATAATCAATAACAAAAAGAACATTTACCCTTATTACTCCTTGTTGCGGCATGCAACCCGATCCCACCAGTCCACCCTTATTACTCCTTAATATATCACCCTTATTCCTCCTGTTGCGGTGTGCAACTCGATCCCACCTGTCCATCCTTATTACTCCTTGTTGCGTCGCGCAACCCGACCCACCGGACAATCACGTTTCACCATTATTCCTCCTGTTGCGACGTGCAACCCGATCCCACCACGTCAGTACCAATCACAAAATAAGAACAAGTATTTCACAAGTTAACTCAAATCCTCCACAACATTTATACCTCAAACCAAAACAACGGAAGATCACTACAATTATGAAACTTCATCAGTTAATACTACACAGCGAGACCAACCAGAGTGTACCATGAAGCACCAATAAACCAACGTAAACCAACAGTGTGATGTAATAAAACTATGGAACAATTAATAACGTCAATAGAGAAAACAACATTTAACAAGAAGCAATTAGACATGAAAACGTCAATAAGCAAGTAGCAGTTAGGATAGGAAAGCAATATATTAGGAAGCGGGGAAGGGAACAGGCTAAACAAACAACTTGGTGGCACATAGGTACTTGTCACCACACCTATACGCCACACACATGGAATTTCACATAGCAATTAAGTCGGGGATCCCTAATCCACGAGTCAAGGTTAGACCAAACACTTACCTCAAGCCAACGGGTATTTCAAATCTCAATTACCGCTTTACCTCTCGATTCCACCTCCAATCCACTCGTATCTAGCCATAATCAACTTAATAACATCAATTAACGCTGAAGAAATCAATTCTAATGCATAATTATAAATTCCCCAACATTTTCCCCCAAAAGTCAAAAACCGACCCGTACCCGCTTGGTCAAAACCCGAAATTTGGACCAAAACCCGATTACGCATTCACCCCCGAGCCTGGATATACAATTGGTTTTGGAATCTGACCTCAATTTGAGGTCTAAATCCCCAAATTTCGAAATTCCTAAGTTCTACCCAAAAACACCCAATTCCACCATGAAAAACCCTAGATTCTAGGATGAAATTTTGTAAAAAGATGAAATAGATTGAAAGAAATGAGTTAAGAATCATTTACCTATGATTTGGGGATGAACTTGCCCTAGGAAAATCGCCTCTTGAAGTTTAGGTTTTGAAAAATGGGAGAATCAATGAAAAATCCCGTCTAAGACCCTTTTACTCAGCTGCAGATGTCGCAATTGCGACCTGAGCTTCGCAATTGCGAAGCTTGCAACTGCAAAGGAGCCATCGCAAATGCGAAGCCCTTCACAGTCCTGCTGCCTTCGCAAATGTGAAGAGAGTGTCGCATTTGCGAATGCTGTTCCTCGCAAGTGCGAGTAGAAAATTGCATTTGCGATCATACCCCTTCCCAGACTCCCTTCGCAATTGCGAAGAATTGTTCGCATTTGCGAACTCTACTGGACCAGGCCTTCTTCGCAATTGCGATAAATACCTCGCAATTGCCATGCCTGCTTTGTTCGCATTCGCGAAACCTGATCTCGCAATTTCGAGATCAGAGGCCTGCTACAGACACCAGTTACACCAGCAAATTTCTAAGTTCCAAAATCACTCCGTAGCCTATCCAAAACTGACCCGAGCCCTCAGGGCTCCAAACCAAACATGCACACAAGTCTTAAAACATCATACGAACTTTCTCATGCGATCAAATTGCCAAATAACACCTAGAACTATGAATTTAGCACCAAATTGCATGAAATTTTCAAGATAGTTGCAAAACTTCTATTTTCTCAACCATAGAAGGTCCGAATCACATCAAATCAATTCCGTTTTTCACCAAATTTCACAGATAAGGTTTAAATATCGTAACAGACCTATACCGAGCTCCGAAACTAAAATACGGGCCCGATACCAACAAGATCAAATCTTTTAAATTGTTACATTTTCAGTCTTATCAATTTTCTTCAAAAATTCATTTCTCGGGCTAGGGACCTCGGAATTCGATTCCTTGCATACGCCCAGGTCCCATATTTTACTACTGTCGAAATACGGGTCCGGGTCCGTTTACCCAAAATATTGACCGAAGTCAACAAAATTAACTTTTTAGGCCAAAGATCACCATTTCGTAAATTTTTCACATAAGGGCTTTCCGTATACACGCCCGGACTGCGCAGCAAATTGAGGAGAGATAAAATGTGGTTTTTAAGGCCTCGAAACACGGAATCGAATTCTAAAACAGAAGATGACCCTTTTGGGTCATCACAATAAAAAATGAGGTATATGATGCTGTCAAAGAGTTCTTTACCGCATGGGATATATATAAAGCTATTAACTGCACCACACTAACCCTGCTGCCAAAGATTGCAAACCTCAATACTATGAAGGATTATAGGCCTATAGCTTGTTGCACCATGTTGTACAAGTTGATTGCAAAAGTTCTTACTGGGAGATTACAAAAGATCATGAGCTACATTATCTCACAGGCACAAGCAGGGTTCATCCCTGGGAGAAGGATTGCTGATAACATAATCCTAGTACATGAGTTGGTTAAATCGTATAGCAGGAAACACATCTCCCCTCGGTGTATGGTCAAAGTTGACTTACAAAAGGCATATGACTCTATGGAATGGGTGTATCTGGAACAAGTTCTAGAATGATTGGCTTTCCTAGACAAGTTTATAAGTTGGCTAATGACTTGTGTAAGAATAGTTAATTATACCATCCTGCTTAATGGGGAATCTGTGGAACCATTTAATGCTGCTAAAGGCCTAAGACAAGGAGATCCAATATCTCTTTTCCTATTTGCTATTTCCATGGAATACCTGAGTAGACTTCTCAATGAACTGCAACATGATAACATATTCATATACCATCCAAGATGTGGTAAGCTACACATCACTCATCTGAGCTATGCTGATGACCCGCTCCTTTTTGCCAGAGGTGACACATCTTTAGTACAAAGACTACATGAGTGCTTCACAATATTCTCAACAACTTCTGGACTACAAGCAAACTTGGCAAAGAGTGCCATATACTGTGGGGGATGGAGAGCAAGGTTAGAGAAGCAATCTACCAGACACTGGGATACTCTCAAGGTCAGCTGCCCTTTAAGTATTTAGGGGTGCCATTGGATACAAAAAAGCTGACTATGATAAAATGGCAACCACTCATCACCAAAATTGTGGCAAGGATAACTTCGTGGACTGCAAAAAAAAAATTATCTTATGCTGGAAGGGTACAACTAATACAGACTGTACTGTTTGGAATCCAATCCTACTGGGCTCAAATTTCCCCCTACCAGTCAAAGTGATTAAAGTGATCGAAGCCTATTGTAGAAGCTACATATGGTCAGGTGGAAATGAAATTACAAAGAGAGCCCTCATTGCCCGGGATAAAGTTTGTCTACCCAAGACAGTTGGTGGTCTCAACTTAACAACCTACAGATATGGAATGCTGTTGCTATTGCCAAAACATTCTGGGATCTATCTCACAAGCAAGACAAACTGTGGATTAAATGGATTCATGATTTCTACATCAAAGAACAGTGTACAAAAACCATGCCTATCCCAAAGAATGCTAGCTGGATGGTGAGGAAGTTATTGGAAGCAAGGAGGTTATCAATCAACTACACAAACCTTTAGATGATAAGAAAAGTGTCATCAAAGATCTATCTTCAACTGATACCAACCTTACCTAAAACTAGCTGGAGGAGACTATTGTGTCGAAATGCTGCTAGACCTAAGGCTATAAGAAATGTCAAGGGAGATACTTACTGTGGACAGACTTAAGAAATGGGGACTTACTTTAAATGATACTTGTGTGCTATGTCAATCCAGTTTGGAGACAAGAAACCACTTATTTGCTGAATGTGGCTATGCTAAAAGTCTATAGAGTAGACTGATTCAATGGGCACAACTACAGAATAATATAAGCTCTACATGGGATGAGCATCTCCAGTTCATCTGTCATCATGACAAAGGGAAGACAATATCAGCAAAACTCCTCAAGATGATATATGTTGAATATACGCATTGCCCTATGGAAGGAAAGGAACCATCGAATATTTCAAGAGACATTCAGAGATTACACTAGCTTGGCAAGGGAGTTAGCCTGCATGTGCAACTTTAGAGCAACTGGCACTGTAAAGAAATTAGTACAACAATTGTGTTTCTAGACCTAGTCTACTGATAGAAATATGGCTTAGTGATTTGTGATAGTATAGTCTTTCCCTGTAATTTCCACGAGAACTAGCTAGCTGGGAGTAGCTAAGCTATGCTTTGTAACATTTTCGTTTGGTGATTAATGATAAGTTTAATTACCAAAAAAGAAAAACTAGATGTAATCCTAAATTAGTATTGCATGACCACGAAACGTTATAAAATGAACCCAAAAATCATGGCGAAACAATGAATATTGGTCTTAAGGTTGTTTCCTATAGACCTACGATTTTTCAGACAAATCAGAGTCTGGCAATTTTTTTACAAAATCACTATGTACTAATACGAACGAAAAAGTGAATATTAATCATAAATTCATATTACATAGCTCCAAAACATCATAAAATAAATTTGAAAATCATAGTGAAACAATAAATATTGGTTACTAGGCGGTAGGGATGGCAAACATGCGGGTAGGTTCGGATATGAGCGGGTCAAAACGGGTAATTTAAAAAACGGATAAATTATCCGACCCGACCCGTATTTGAGACGGATAAAAATAAATTTATCCGGCGGATAATATGGATATCAATATTATCCATGGCTTCTTAAATATGATCACTTATGAGAGAATTCCCAGTCTTCCAAACTCGAGGAACTCCAATTTGAGGCTTTACAAATGTAACACATTAGTTATCCATTTGGTTAACTATTTTCTAAGTGGATAATATGGTTCTTTATCCGTATTCTGACCCGTTTTTAAATGTTTCATTATCCAACCTATTTTTTAATGGATAATATGAGTGTATAACTATTTTCTTTTAACCATTTTGCCATCTCTGCTAGGAGTAAAAAACGATTACAAGCCGTCAAAAAACAAAAAAGTGTGTGTCTTCTCTCTCTCTTTTTTTTTTTAATTTTTTTTTACACTTATCACCATCATCAAAGGGAGACACTAGCACAAAGCGGTCAACGAAACCAGAAAAAAAAAAGGTTAACTCAATTGAGATTTAAAACCCTAGCCCTAGCTTTGAAATGCAGAAACAACCACCGCACACGGCGGATTCCGATATCCCAAACCTCGCGAACATCAAGGTGAAATGTTCATCACCGCGTTTTCCACCACCTACCACTCCATCCGCCACAGAGACCCCCACCGCCGGGGCACAACGCAAAATTGGAATCGCCGTTGATCTCAGTGACGAATCCGCCTTCGCCGTTAAATGGGCCGTCCACCACTACCTCCGTCCCGGTGACGCCGTTATCCTTCTTCACGTTCGCCCTACCTCCGTCCTCTACGGTGCTGATTGGGGTTCTGTTGATCTCTCCATTATCGATCCCGATAACGAAGAGTCTCACCGGAAGCTTGAAGATGATTTTGATAATTTTACTGCCACTAAATCTTCTGCTTTGGCCCAGCCGCTTGTTGATGCACAAATTCCGTACAAAATTCATATTGTGAAAGATCATGATATGAAAGAGAGGCTTTGTCTTGAGGTTGAGAGGCTAGGATTGAGTGCAGTTATTATGGGTAGTCGAGGATTTGGGGCAACGAAGAGAGGAAATGATGGGAGGCTTGGAAGTGTTAGTGATTACTGTGTTAGGCATTGTGTTTGTCCTGTTGTAGTTGTGAGGTATCCTGATGAGAAGGATGGTGGAAATGCTGCTCGTCAGCCGGTAGTTTCTGTGGCGTCTGCGGCAAAAGAAAATGAGGAGGAAACCGAGTATCATGATGCTTCTGATGATCGCCAAGGTAAGTTGCGAAAAAAACTGTTGTAACTGTTGGTTCGTAGATCCTTATACTAATAGGCTTTCAGTTAGTTTCAAATCTTTGCATGAAAGAGGTTTTGTGTTGATGTAAATTTATGCAACTTCTGCTACTGGTTATCAGTTTGTGCGTTTCCTCGTTGAAATGAAAGATCTTTCATATTTAATATTGTAAAATTTAATTTTGTATACCGCTGCCAATTGTGACACTTGGTGATGTTTTATAGCAAATAAAATGATAGAGAGTAAAACTGGGTGGATTATTCCCCAAAATAGCTGCATTAATGCAATGCCTTTTACAGTGTATGCATATGATTTTGTCACGCAAAGTGTGAGAAACCTGTAAATTTTTATAACTACTACTTTGGCAACAATATGTAAGAACACGGGCTTTAAAGGTAACGAAATGTGAGCATTGTTTTGGATTAACTCAAACAAATGCCTAATCTTGAAACGAGAACTTGGACAAAAGAATCCTCAATAAACTTATTATTGCAATGCTCACTCATGTGTGCTGAATCTTGAGGCTACTCTGTTTTAAATTGTCTAACTCCATGAAGCAGGATCGCAACCAGCCATAGGAAAAGGCTCGAAAAAGGATAATTGACTTAAGGTTGTTTAAGAAGTCCTTTGAAGAGGCAATAAGCGAAAGGTACATTGCTTGTTACTTTTATTTTCACAGTGAATATCACTTCTCTTCTTTCATTTTAAATTACTTACTTTAAATTATGAAACTTTGTACTTTTGTTGCTCACATAACTTACAAATTGTACTTGTATTGCTTAGAGTAGAACTTATGGCGTGATTCACTGTGCGAGCTATCTCCTGCTGTATGAGATCAATAGGGTTCTTGTTAAGTTTTGACTCGCTAATGAAGTTTGTGAGAGGACTTTTGATAAGATGAATTCAGATTATTGTTTCTTCCTTGTTAAAAAGAAAACTTAGTGTATGTAAGTTAATTTGGCACCGCTACAGGCTGCTTTTGAGCTTAACATTTTAATGAAAAGATTTGTTAGGACTGGCTTGTGTGCTCCGCACTTTTTACCTCTAAGCCTAGTTCTTCCTTGGGTTAATAGATGACAATTGTAAACATGAATTCCATAACAGATTTTAGGAAGATTTAATTTTGTGATAACTGTCTTTGGTTGTGAAAGCAGGGGAAAAATAAAGCAGGTGTGTGATGTTGAAATAACAACTTTGATAAAGGAAACTACGGTTTATTCTAGAGTCAATTTGATTTGACTTTCCAATATTTGAACTTTAGACCTTATTGTAGTCTTGGCCTAAGCTTGATTTTGCCGTATGGATTGGAGGTTTAATGTTTATGAAAGCAGACACTTGTTTGCATGGCCACTATATTTGAATTTGTAGAGTTGTGGGTGATGTCAAATCAACTTTGTCATTTCACTAAAGATTACATAGATGAATCATTTCTATCCACTGTTCTTTATTTGAGGACACATTGCAAAAGATGTTGGGAGGAGAATACTAGTGGGAAGGATGCAACATCTTTTTCTGTCTGGTATTTTCAGTGATTGGTCCACTGATAATATTCTTTGCAAGAATGAGGAGCTTCTTTTCTTCCCTGAAGAAAAATCACCTTTTGACAATTTTCATGCCATTTGTTCTGATCTTGTAGGAGGTTCATGCATTATCCGTTACATCTATAAATTAGAGGTCCCGAGCAATATGCATCCAAATTGTTTAATAGTCTGTTAATTGATGATTGCTAAAACCATTGTTGGTTATAGAGTCTCTTCATGGTTTAATTAGAAAATGACAGTTTTTTCAGAATATTGGATAACCTCCTTTTGCCTTCCTGAAAACAGAATTGCATACCTTGTGTTTCAGAGAAAAAATAGAATCTTTTTTTGATCGGTAACAATAGAAGTTTTTCTTTCAGTGAACTTTTCCTAAAAACATTTATGACTACCGAAACATAAAAATTGAACTTTGAAACATAAGTGACAAAGAGGCATTTGTGCCTCCCTTCATTATAACAACAAGAAAATTTTTTCACCTACTTTAACATGTACATACAACTTAGAGTCACTATTATATCCATATTTTAACATTTAGAGACAAAGATGCGTTCGCTTAGCTCGACTGTTTAGAAACGTTCTTTGACATTGATTTTCCCGGTAAGTGTAACATCCTGCTTAGGATTGAGGACATGGGTTTGGTCTGTGCAGATTGCCATGCAGAGAGTTGCAAACCAGTCGAACCAAGTTCTTGTATGCCCTTATATTTTTTATGCAATTGATATTTGCGCTCTGATGTGCAGAATAACGTTTGAAGCTTTTTCATCACCAATTCTGTTGTCTATTGACTGTATGATTACTGATAGTTTTCTTTTTGTTTGCTAAGACGTTTATATACCTGTTTCTTTGGTGACAGATTCCGAGCGGAAGTTGCGGTGAACATTCCTTTTGCTGCACAAAATTTGAGCGACTTGTGAGAACCACTTGGTCTTTTGTTATATCTGGAGTCATCTTCTGTAACTGAATTGTGGTTGCTCCTCTCTCTCATCTTCACCTTGTCACAGTTGGCTAGATGATCTTGTCATCTTCTCTTGAGGTTGTCGTCTTCGTACGGTTTCACTTAATGTGTGCCTTTTTCTCATTAATGACTTTCTTGTGAAATCTAAACTACTTTAACTTTTAAGACTTAATTTCTATGTTCCTGTTATTAGCACGTCCTCAAGCTTAGTTAGATATGCATTAAAAATTTCTTGTTCGTATTGATATAGTCTTATGGTAGTCCCACTTATACTTTTATCTACTATGATGACAAGCAAATACTAATAAGCATGGATGAGAAATCATTTTAGTCATCAATTTCACGTTTTCTGCCTTTTCCCTTATCCTAAACCACTGCCCTTTATTGTTGTGTTTCTTCGGCTGCGATGGGTTAATATCTCTAGATCATAGCTGCACTTGGATGTTGCCTAGAACAGTTGCTACTAGTGTTCCCTTTTCGTGGTTTATGAAGGCAATGCATATCTTGCCCTTAGAGATGGTAACAAAGAGGATGACAAAAAGGCTTTCCTGAAAATGGACTTGTTTCACCAGAAGATAGGCATAAATTTGCCATTTGACAATCACAGTCTTGAGTCATATAAGGATAAGTTGAATATCTTTGGCTTGTGAGATGTCGATGTGTTTTATCTTTTGTTTGTTGGGAATGTTATATACAAGAATGAGTGATTTGATGCTTGCTTTATTCAGATACAAGAGGCTAACATAACTGGATGAAGTCCTTAGCGCGATTTGTAAGTGATAGAGACTCAAAATTGACATGTTACAAATAGACATACAATTTAAAAAAGAAGCTAAATATAGATAATACAACCTTTGACTTGTTTCACTAAAATGTACTTCCCTTTATTCAAGGGTATCGCCGAGTACTCGATGAACTTAAAGCAAATCTTGAAGATTAAGGACAAAAAATATTAGGTGATTTTTTCTATTTGCACAAGTCTTAGTGGGTACCATGAAAAATGGGTCTGTTCTTTGTATACGGTCAAAATCAGGGAAGACCGATTTTAAGGCTTTTATGGCGTTTCAAGCCCGGCCTCGATGGGCTTGAAGCACACTCTAAGGCTTGTCCCCGAAGCACTCGCCTCGAGAGGGTATATCGAAGACTCATCACAGCGTACCTCGAGGCAGTATAAATCGACGACCGTCATGGAAAGGTAGGAAAATTCCCGAGGGCACGTGATTAGAACTGACAGAGTTTGCGAGAAATAGTACAAATTCGTACTAAGCCATTATACAGTTGTACCAATAGCATTTTCTCGTCATTATTAGACATGTACTATGTTGGGATTCCCCTCTCCTATATAAAGGGGACCCTTGTCATTTTGTAAAAAGAATGTTTATTGAATACAATAGAACATTCTCTGCTTTTCTTCCCTAAACGTGCTTAACAATCACTCTACAGATTTATTGCTTGTTCATTTATTGTTCTTCATTTATTGCCCATTTTTAACCGCAAAAGGCTATCTTCGATGCCTTCGATATCATTGTTTCTTCATCAATTGTTCATTGCTAACTGCCCTAACTAGACCTTGATGCCCCCTGTTACAGCCAGCTCGAGGCCCAGTCTTGCGACAACATTGGTTTGCATATCTTATTCTCTTTACTTACACTTAGCATCTATTGCCAAACAACTAGTATTGAAATAAATCACATATTTTTAGAACCACAAAATCAAATATAATTGTTAATATCATTTTTCAGGTAAACACTCTTCCCTTAACAAGAGGTCTCGATTTGGAGCCTTGGGTATGAAAAAAACCTTAATAGAGAGCGTTTTTCCCGAATGAGGTCCTACTCGGCGCGAATCTGGATATAGTCGGGTCCCAATAGGTGTACCGGACACCGGGTGATAAACAAAAAAAAAGTCTTAGTGCGGTGGAGTTATTCAGTACCTATGCTTGGTGGAGATAGCAAGTAACCTGTGGGATAGACGGGGTGTGTTAAGCTATTTCAAACACCATATTTTCTTTTTTTAAAAAGAATTTACTCCAATTTAATACTCCATTAAGATACGAAAAGGAAAGTATTGTAAAAAACAAGAAAAGTGCAAGAATGCAGAGCAGAGGGGCTGCACTTTCCCAAGTAAATAATAACCACAACTTTTGATTTGTTGAACCTGAAGGCCATCCCTCTGCACTTGAAAAAGAGTGGTCCAAGTACTCCTTAGCTGATTATCAGTACCAGCTATAGTTAACTACTCCATCCAACTAGGGAAGGAAGAAAGATTCCAAAAAAAAGTTGAAACTTCACATACAATTAAAAATGGAGGGAGCAATATCTACTACCACCTCCTCTCAATTTGTATGTGGCTTAATTCAATTTACGAGGATTCGATAACAACAATATACTCAGTATAACTTTATAGGTGGGGTTTGAGGAGGGTAGGGTGCATGTAGACCTTTTCCCTATTTTATCCGCGATAGAGAGACTGTTTCTGATAGATCCTCAGCTATCGATTAATTTGCGACATTGACCTGATTAATTTTTATTTAGTAACGTATTTCTCAATTTGTCCCAATTTATGTGAAGGTATTTGACTGAGCACAAAATTTAAGATATAAAAGAAGATTTATGAAAGTTATAATCTAAAACAAATCATAAAAATTTGTGTGGCTAAAAATCATCTTACTCCCTCCGTCTCAAAGGATTGGCATAGTTCGGAATACGAGGGTAAATGTACTTTACATTGACTGCGAATTTGGATATTGATTCTTTAAGTTTTTGAAAATCAAATTTACATGTTCGAAAACTACATAAAAATATTATAAGTCATAATAATTCATAATTCAAAATATTTAAGAAAAAAATGGTCAAAGAATAACCTCGTAGACTTCTCAAATAGTAATAGTGCCTATCTTTTTTTAACAGAGAGAATATTAAGGATAAAAGAAAAAATTTAAATTTAAAATATTATTAAATATAAAATTGTGTCATTTGTTTTGGGACTGACTTAAAAGAAAAAGAGCATTATTTTATATATATTTTAAATCAAATCTATAAAAAGTTGCAAACTAAATGAAAACAATCTAACTTTTACTCTGAGATTAGAAATAACTAAAAACCATCAGAGATGTTATTAAGTCTTTAAATTAGAATTAAGTTATATATAGAAGAATCAATATACAAAAAAAGTAAAGTATTTTAATTAGAAGAAAAAAAATAAAAGAAAAAAAGTGTAGTGCAAGAATATAGGGCAGAGGGGCTGCTGCACTTTCCTGGGTAAATGATAACCACAACTTTGATTTATTGAACTTTAAGGCCATCCCCCTGCACTTGGAAATAGTGGTCCTACTATGCCTCATATTTAAATTTATATATTTCAGTAAGAAATATATATAATTTCTATTACTGACTACTTTTTATTTTATTTTCTATTTTGTGTAATATTAGTTTGAGATGAAAATTTTAAATGAAGAAGCACGATTAGTGAGGTGTTATATAATCAACTTCAACTTGTTTGAGACTGTGATATAGCTGTCCTCGCTGAGTAGTTGACTTGCAAGCAAACTAAATCAACACGGGCTCGGAAAAGCTTCTTTTTCAGTTCTAGAAGTTATAGAGCTTATATAGAAGAAGCTGTAGAAGAGCACCATCATGGTTCAGGTCCCGACATATGGGGGATTAATTCAGCTACAAGGATCGCGAATCAAGGGAAGAGAAGAATGAGACTATAATTTGAAAGTTGCCGCCGACCACGACCCTAGATGGCAACCTAAGTGGTTATGATGATAAGGTGTAGGGATACTCTTAATGACGTGAGATATTGAGAAAATCGTGACAGCTTGATTCAAAACGCACAATATTTATTGATATGCCAATATACATGTAATCTATATGTGTATATGTATGTATAAGCACCTCATATTTATTAATATGCACATAATAGAGCACCCTTAGCCGCATTGCTGACACCAGCCGCTGAACGACATGTGGCAGAAGCCAAAGTGTGAAATTATTCCTAGCTTTTTTCCTCAGCAAATTAATATTTTGTTCTTTTCTAATGCACATTAGCTTAGTCGCATTTAATATTTATATCAAATTATATTAATTTATTATAATTAATTTATAATTAAGAATTGATGTTCCAAATTTTTGAATCCGGTCAGCAGTCCTAATCTGTAAGGCAAAATCAGGAACTGAAAATATTTTTAATCAAGAAATCCAACTTAAACGTAATAAATAAATTAATCCAAAACCATAAACTCAAATTCCTAGCTCTCAACCCTGCTAATGAGAATCCATATTTTGTTGAAATCTTAAGACAATACATTTGTCCGAAGCAATTTTAGTGGTCTCAAGAATCCAATTGAAGAAGATGTCCCCTTATTATCTTCCAATAAATTGTTGTAGTTCAAATCCGAGGAGCAAGCCTCTTCATCCTGCATAATTAGTGGAGTACATATTAGTCCTAAAATTGTAAAGAGGCGGATCCAGTATATAAATTACGAATGCACAGTCGAACGTATGTAGATGCCGATCAACGACAGATGTAGCTTTTGAGCCATCAATTTAATTGAACTTAATATTCTTTTTGAAAGAAAACATAGTTATATATTTAAAAATCAGAAAAACAAAATCTTTTCTGAACTCATAATTTCAAAAGTGCACTGAGTTCAATGCTGAAAACTTTAAAGGTTAAACCTATTAAGTTAAAATTCTGATTCCGTTATCAATTCAAGATTTAACCAGATGGATTGAATTATTTATTGGTCCAGCTGAACCCAATAATCTAGACACACAGTGGCAGAACCACATAGCTCCAAGGGGTTTAAATGTCACTTAAAAATTACACTGTTTTGATAGGTAAACTATTTTTGTATTTTATATATGTATTGAACCCCCTCTTAGTGTATTTACTTTTTTAAAATTTTGACTCTACTTGGCTTCATTATAAAAGGGTAGCCGGTGCAATAAGCTTTCGCTATGCGCGGGGTCCGAGAAAGGATCGGATCACAAGAGTCTACTGCATGAAGTCTTACCCTGAATTTCTGCAAGAGACTATTTCCACGACTCCAACCATATAACCATATAATTGATATAGTACAATATAAATATAGCAAATAGCACTATGTTAAAACAAAATAAAATTTTTAACAAGTATTATATTCGAAACTCATAGTAAGAACTTAAAATATTGAACACGTCAAATGTAAATTCTGAATTAAGGGAATATATCACCTACCTCTGAATGGAGGCCATCACTTTCCCTTAATCGCTTCTTCCACGGAGAAGAAACAGCCGCCGTGTCACCGCCGTCTCCGGCAGATAAATCTCCATAACTGCCGGTAGAAGAAGAAGAAATTGACGGAGAAGACGACAAAGGAACAACTTGATTCTCAGTATCTTCATTATCATCACCATATTCATCATCAAAATCACTCTCACTTTCATATTCTTCATCTTCATCAGTTTCTGTTTCATAATTTTCTTCAACTCGTTCATCATTTTGGTTCTGCAAATGAACGGCGGCAGCAGCCGAGGTATTTTCAAGACAAGAATTGCAGAGGGAAAATGTAGGTGAAAGTTTTGGACCAGAAGCTGACCAAGGAGTTAGTGATTGACATGAATTACAAAGGAGATTTCTTGAATGTTTAGCTACAAGAAAATTAGCACAATGAACTTTTGTATCACAATCCCAACATAGACTTGCTTGATCTGATTCACAATACATTTTTGCCTTGTTTTTCTCACACAACTCACAATTCTTCTTGTTCATATCTATTTTTTCTTCTAGAAAATAGGACAACAATAATTACGATTCAGTCCCAAACAAGTTGTCGTCCTTCTTTTCAAGAAAATTAGGAGCTTGTTGAGTAATTTGAGTTTTCAAGAAAAATGGAACAATAATAACTACGTCAACAAGGGGAGGTCGATCTTTTAAAAAAATAGAAGTAATTGGGGGTTGAGTGATTTGAGTATTCAAGAAAATGGAACAATAAAACTACGTCTCAGTCTCAAACAAGCGAAGGTGGATCTTTTCAAAAATTCAAAAAATAGAAGTAATTGGGGGTTAAGTGATTTAGGTTTTCAAGAAAATGGAACAATAATAACTACGCCTCAATCTGAAACAAGTGGAATGAATTTTTTCAAAATTACAAGAGCTTCAAGAAAATAGAAGTAATTGGGGATTGAGTGATTTGAGTTTCGAAGAAAATAGAACAATAACAACTATGCCTTATTTTTTTTTTTTAAAAAAAAACATCAAGAAAATAGGAGGAATTGGTGGTTGAGTGATTTTGGGTTTTTAATAATGTTTGAGGGGTTTAAAGTTATGGAATTTGGATGGACAAAGCTGAAAATAGGAATTGGAAAGTTTGCAATTGGTAATCTTATAGAATTGGAAAGAATTGTGTCTCCCATATTTGGGGGTGGGTCCCCCACTTTTTTTTATTGTATATATTTCTATGGCTATTACACTTCTAGCAAGGTAGCTGCCTACTGAAAATATTAAACAATCAAGTTGCATTTAACTTATATGCAAATATGTATATATTTTTTATTGATTTGGTATAAATATTTAGTACATATAATTTCTTTAATTTACTCTTATATATTAATAATATAATACTATCAGATTATCTAAAAGAGATAGTACTCATCAATAATAAGTATAGGATAATAACTTGGAAATTCGATATGTTATTTGTTACTATAAGTTATTCCATTTCTTCTAATTTATATGATACTCTTTCCTTTTTGATCAGTACAAAAGAGAATGATACCTTTCTTTATTTAGTAGTAACAATTTAACTTTAAAATATTCACTTTATCCTAAATAAGATAATTTATATTCACACACATATCTATAGCTCATTTTAGACCATAAATTTCAAGAGTCTTCATTTATTTCTTAAACTATGTGTCCAGTCGAATACCTTCACATAATGTGAGATAAAGGGAGTAAAATATACTGATAGTGTAAAAATTATTTATACTCTCAATATATATATATATATAAATTACTAACTTTTTTTAAAATGTTAATTTGGTAGATTAGTATGTTCATAATTTAATACAAATGAATATTAGTGCAACACGTTGGCAACAAACAAGTTCAAATATTTTATGTTAAACTCTTGTGCTTGAGCCATTAATATTGTACTTTGTGCAAATCACTAATTTTGGTATTGCTTGAGTTGTAAAGGTTGAATGCCTTAAGAGGAAATGATGGTAAAATTAAAATATTAATTGTCAAAAGACAAGGGACAAGAAACAATAAGATGATAATAATATTCATTTCTTCCTTCTTAAGCCGCACAAAAGATTTGTATGGATACGTATTAGGAATATCTATAGTTTACCTTCTTTCTTTACTAAACAACTTGAGTCCAACTCATGAGGCAAAAAAGTCTAGAACCTTCGATTAACTAATTCTGAAATTAGTTATTCTGGTATTATTTTTTATTGATTATCGATATATCGTATTATTTTTTATTCTTTTATTCTAGTATAATTTATTTTGGAATTACTATTCTACCCTCTGGCAGGTATAAATTATCCCGATACTATTTTTAATCCTGTAATAATTTATCCTAGGATTAGTAACCAAATAAGGGATAAGGCGATACTAAATTTTTATCTCCGGATTATTTTGCTTATCCATCGTACCAAACTACTCCTTAGTGCACTTGTGTGAGGTCGATTCCTAAACTAGCAGCTCAAATTCTTATTCGATAGTGATGTCTCTGCCACTTTCAAATCCAAATTTAAAAAGTCTTAGTAGGCGTTTGGACACAAGAATTGTAAAATTTTAAAAAATGATGAAAAGAATTTTCAAGTGAAAATGGTATTTGAAATTTAGAGTTGTGTTTGGACATAAAATTCAATTTGGATTGTTTTGAGTGAAAATTTTGAAAAACAACTTTTTGAAGTTTTTCAAGTTTTCGAAAATTTTCAAAATGTATCTTCAAGTGAAAATTAGAAATTTTATGAACAAGTGCTGATTTCGAAAAAAAGTGAATTTCTTTTGGTAAAAAGAAAAAAAAATTTATGTCCAAACGGGCTCTTTATATTCGAGTAAAAATGTTCCCTAACATAAACAACTTTATACCTGAATTTAAATTCGAAACTTTTAATTAAAGAAAATTAAAAAGGATATTTTTCTTTATGCAAGTGGCTTCGAATAGCATAGGGAACAACGTGTTATAATGACCAAGGAAATTAGATTCTATGTGTTTTTGCTTACATGGCTAATTTTAGTCCACAAAAGAGATTAAGCCATGTGAAACCCACGTGCGTTCCTTGGCCTTCAATTTTTGATTATCTGTCATTTTTGGAGTATGGGTCTTTCCTATGATGATAATTATTAATGTCTTAGATAAGGAGAAAAAGAAAAAGAAGTTGGATAAGGGTGTCAAAATAATTTAGCCTAATCCACTTGTTCTATCTTATCTTGAATAACTTTGATAAAGGTTTTAACAAAGGGAAAATTCATAGTTTTAAGTAGGTTGTTTGAAGTGATATTGCATTTTATATTTATGCATACTTTTTCTTTTTAAAAAATAATTTAATTTTTTATTTTTTTTATTTTTTTGATGAACTGATATAAAATCATACAAATATCTATAATTTATTCTGACTATAAGTCATTTTTCATTAAACTCCAGGAAAATGAATTTGTTCCCGTAAGTAAATAACTCGATATTCAATCAAGTGCCCTATTAAGTATTTTTGGACCACGAGAGCTCGCACATGCTATTAGATCGATTCTAGAAAACCTCATGTACAGAATTCTTAATTTAGCAGTGAGACCACGGGTTTACGCGGAGGCGAATATATGATTTCTAAAACATGGGTGTACCATCAAAGAAAGGAGAAAAAAATAGTACTCTTATTAAGTAGAATTGATCCTTGTTTCTTTATGTAAATACATCGGTATTCAATCAAGTGCACCATTTAGTATTTATGGAGCGTATGTGCCAACAAAAAATACAACAACAACAACAACCACCCAGTATAATCCTACTAGTGGGGTCTGGGGGAGGCTAATGTGTACGCAGACCTTACCCCTACCCTAGGGTAGAGAGGCTGTTTCCAATAGATCCCCGACATCCTTCCCTCCAGGAACTCCTTACCTTGCTCTTGGGGTGACTCGAACTCACAACCTCTTGGTTGGAAGTGAAGAGTGCTTACTATCAGAGCAACCCACCTTGTCGGTGCCAACAAATAATATTAGATTAATTTTTAAAAATACATAAATAAGATATTTACTTTGACGGAGAGATCATGAATTTACGTATCTCATAAATTTTCCTATAAATCTGCCCCGGGTTCACGTGCCTCTCATCTAGTCTAGGCTATAAATTTGCCTTTTTTTTTTTTTGGTACATCTGCACCAACTCAAACTGCCCATACAATATATCCTAAAGTTTATTTCAAAATAATTTTTTAATTTAGAAAAGAGCTCAACCCACCCATTCTATACCCAGAGAGAGATGGAGTTAGGATTTAAACATTATAAGTTCAGAATTATAATACTTTTAAGTTACTATGTTTTAAATTAATAATTTTTTACATATCCATGAGATTTTTTAATATAAATACAAAATTTAAATAAAAATTATAAAATTTAATAGAATCCGCAACAAACACTGTGACTCCGCCCCTATCTATACCAAAAGCGTGGACTACACCATAAAGATAAAATTATTGAAAGAACATAGTGTGATGGGATGAGGGAAAAAAATAATCATATGGTGGACAAGGTTTTTGTTGATTGAAATGCTTACGTGGAGAAATACCACGTGAACATGTCTGATGTGGCATCAAAAGAATATGATTCTCCTTCCCCAAGAGTCCGATATTGGTTACATGGACAAATCTTGACTTTGGCATCAATGTGTGACTGTGTGAGAGAGAATGTTTTAATTTTTAATTTTTTAATTTTTTAATTTATGGTTGAGAAAACAAGAGGGTGGAGGAAATTGTGGATAGGAGGTTCTTTGCATCAAGACCAAGGAGAAAAGAGGAGTGCATGTTCTATATATGATATGAAGGATACCAATACCTAGTTCCAATTTCAACTAGCATGGGGCCTTTAGAGCCACAAGAAAATATGAATGAAGGGCAGCCCGATACATAATATTTCGTATTCACATAGGATTTGGAGAAGAGTTATATTCTAAAGGATGTGATGTAGACAGCCTAATCGAACTAAGTATTAATGGTTATTTTCATAGCTCAAACCCGTAACCTATAGGTAGGAGCGCAACTAGAGCTTCGGACGCGGGTTCAACCGAACCCAGTAGCTTTGGTCCAAATTTTATATTTGTCTTTAAAATTTTATTGAATATGTAAAAATTATTAATTTAGAACTTAGTAACTTAGAGGGAATAAAATTCCGAAGCCATTCCCTTCAAATCCTGGATCAGCCTCTACCTATAGGTCATACGGAAACAACTGTTAAAAAATATGAATAATTCTACCTATTGGATTGAGAGTGTTCGTAATTTGATTTGAATCGATTTATCATTGTAAAAAGATCAAATCAATTAATACAAATTTTCAAATTGTTGAATGAAATCATAACAATTAAGAGGAAAAGTTATCACATGACAGGGAATAATAATCTTTTTTATACTAGTATTTAATACTACTAAGCAAAGTAGTAAAGTACCACACAAATTAGGGCCTTTTAAGAATCAAGTCTTGGACTTGGGCCTCAAATGGGAGATTGGACTTCTAGGAAGCCGATAGGCCTTTTCAGTGGGCAGCCCACCTCATGGATGCTCGTTCCATGAAGCTTGGATCTTGATCTTCCTTCTTGAATTCTACTTTAAGCATATTGTAAAGTAAAAATTGCACGGGCTCCCTTATTTGGTCGCCCCATTTAACCTATACATATATTTTTAAAATTATTTAACACATATCCTAATTTTTATAACTTCAGGCGCCTCCTTCTTCCTGAAACCTGTGAGCTCATTTCTTCTTCTTCTTCTTCTTCTTCTTCTTCTTCTTCTCATGAGACTCTGTGTAAGTATTATTGATTGAATATGAAATACACAGTGATTTAGCACTAAGGTATGAATTTTGCATTAAGTACATCTAAAATTTCATTCCCCCAAAGAAGAATTAAAGATGGTTCTTCTGAGTGCTGAATTTCCTGATAATTCCATTATAGCAACTGGATCTTAATGACAACTTGTCATTGTTGTTTTAGAACTTCAGCTCTAAAAATACTGAAGTTCAGCAAATATAAACAAAAACTTCAGCTCCTAGAATGCTGAAGTTCAGCAAATACAAAACAAACTTCAGCCCTGAAGTTCATCACAAACATAACAAAGCTTCAACTAAAACATGCCGAAGTTCAGGAAATATAGA